GAGAGAAACAGTTCCTCCAGGAAGAGACAGAATGACTTCCTGTCTGAGAGTGACTAACACGAGAAACTGTTCCTCCAGGCAGAGACAGAATTACTTACTGTCTGAGAATAACTAACTGGAGAAACAGTTCCTTGTGCTGCAGATTTGGGAACACGTGCTGTGATTTGGCGTCAGACCAGACTGCTCAGATGGTCCACTGACTTTTATAAACATAAATGAAGCATCTACACTTCCTGTCATTGTTCAAAATTCAAGACAAAAAAGTTTATTTGTTTGTTTTTTCCATGTTGCATTTTTGGAGACAGGGTCTGCACACTCACACCCCCAAACCTGAGTGGAAATTATCTGGAAAAGGCTGAAATTAGGAAGAAAGAAACAACAGCAGAAAAGTAGCTAAAAACTCAAAAAGAAGCTGAAATTACCAAAACGAAGTGGAGAGAGTACATTTTTGCTGAATTAGGCCAAAATAAAAGTAGAAATTAGTACAAATAATGAGGAATTAGCTGAAGAGGCTAAAATTAGCATAAACCAGCTAAATAGTAGCTGAAATAGCAGAAAAAGCTAAAACTTGCAGAAAATAGCATAGCAAGCTAAAATTAGCAGAAAGGAGGTAGAAGAAGCACAAAAATGTTGCAGTTAGCAGAAAGAACCTGAAAGGAGCACAAAACAGCTGAAAACAGCTGAAAGTAGCTGCATTTTTTTTTTTAAATTTGCACATGGAAGCTGAAAGAAGCTGAAGCAGAACAAAATGTTGAAAGGAGCAGTAAAAGGTTGTAAACAGATCCAAAGATGTGAAGGATGGAAATGAGCTCAGTTCATTTTCTATGAGACAAAAAGTCAGAAAAGGCTAAATATTTCAAAGAGCTAAAGTTGCATCAATACCAAAAGTTGTAGCAGGATTGTCCTGAAAGAGCCGAATGTTTTGATTCACGATTTGTTGAAATAGATTGAAAACTGCGGGACGAGAATCGAGCTGAAAACGTATGGAAGTACCGTATAGTAACAGACGAGAATAAATATAAACAGGATCACAGTCGTATGAATGTTTAATAAGCATTCACACAATAAATAGATAAATATTTGTTTATAAAGAAAATGTAAGTTTAAACATTTATATTTTGCTAAAGTTTTATTTAATTTCCGTATTATTTTTCTTTACATTGTTGTGTGCTTTTGGATGCTTTTTGAAAACGGTAAACAAACAAACCGAGGTGTTTTGGCCTGAACGTCGCGTCTCCTCCAGGAGGTAAAGCAGCGTTTCAGAACGCCCGGGCTTTGATTTCCAACAGGCTGTCGTTGGTAACGTGACGACGAGGAGTGGAAAAAGATTCGGCTGCAGCGTCAGGAGCCGAGCCGACGCCTGAAACCCAACACCGGCCCATCAGCCCGTAGCGCTCGGCTGTCGGTCTAATAAAACCACGGCTCAGATCAAGTCTGTGGCGTTAAACTCATGAAACGAGGTTTTAACGAGCACGAGTCCGAGCTGAGACCTTTCCCTGCACGTTTGAAGCCTCCTGCAAGAGATGCTCCCGATTGCATCATGACGAGGCTATTCCTGTCCGGCCTGGGCACGTGTCCACACCTCACAGGCTGGCCTTGGATCAGCAGGTAACCCATGTGCTCCACCGACTCTGCAGACCGCCCTGAAGCTTTCAGCCTCGAGCTGCACTGAAACCTGATCCACTGAGGGAACCGGGACATGTGGAAACTGCTCCGTCACATGTGTTTCATGACTCATCATCCTCAACAGGCCCGTCTCGGTTCATCCCCCAGATAATCAGGGATTCACACACTGGATGGCACCACCTGCAGAACCAGAACCTGTCTTTCTGGCTGTTACACAAACAAGATTGAAGCTCAGAGGCGATCGGGCCCCAAACTCTGGAACAATCTGCCCCCCAACATTAAACAGGCCACTTCAATTCAATTCAGTTTATTTATATAGTGCTGAGTCACAACTGGAGTCGTCTCAGGGCACGGAACAGAAACACTTTTATATAAAAATAATAATTTAACATTATTTATCTGAGGAGCAGACTGTTGAACTCCATCACAGAACTCTCATCTTGAGCAAGCATGAAGGCGACAGTGGAAAGGAACAACTCCCTCGTGAGGAGGAAACCTTTAGCAGAACCAGGCTCATCTGCGTCGACCAGCTGGGTTTGAGAGGAATAGATACACAATGGCAGGTCAAGAATCACATGTTAAGATAGAAATGGTATCAAATAAACTATTTAATTTTAACAATTTAATTTAAATAAACAAGGTCAATTTGTCCTCTAGTAGTCTAAGCCTATAGCAGCATAACAAGCCGACCCTAACTATAGGATGTATCAAAAAGGAAAGTGTTAAAACTGGACAATGTGTCAGCTTCACAGACAGAAACTGGAAGTTGGTTCCACAAGAGAGGAGCCTGAGAACTGGAAGATCTTCCTCCCGTTCTGCTCTTGGAGACTCTAGGAACCGCGAGTAAGCCTGCAGTCTGAGAGTGAAGTGCTCTGTTAGTAAAATATGGAAGAGTAAGATCTGTAATATAAGATGGAGCTAGGTTGTTGAGAGCTTTGTAGGTTAAGATGTAAGATTTTGAATTCTATTCTGGATTTGACAGGGAGCCAGTGGAGAGAAGCTAAAACTGGAGAGATATGATCTCTCCCAGTAACTCCAGTTCAGACTCTGGCAGCAGCATTTTGGATCAACTGAAGATGTTTTAAAGTATTTGGACACCCAGTTAATAAACCGTTGCAATAGTTCAGTCTAGACGTGACAAATGCATGAACCAGTTTTTCTGCATCATTTTTAGATGTTTCTAAATTTAGCTTCATTTCCTGTTTTTAAATCTGATAAAAACACTTGTTTTCTCTGACTTTTCACTCCGTGCGACTTGATTTAGTATTTTGTTGTTCTTTGTTATTATGGTTTTTATTTTGATGCTTTTAATTATTTTTTCAGTATCATATTTTTTTTCTCCCATTAAATTACTCCCATTGATTTTTATTGTTAAGCACTTTGGTAGCAGCTGCCGTTTTAAATGTGCTTTATAAATAAAGTTGACTGTCTCCACCTGACGGCTGCTTCTTCTCGTCTCCTTAGATTACTCCGTCCACGACTTTGGTGACCTCAGCTTCCACCACCTGGAACATGACGAGCCCTACATGGACGTGAAGTTCCCTCGAAATGTGGGCGCTGCCAACAAGGTGCTGTTCAGCGCAGCGAGCCGGGCCGTCGGTGCTGGGCACACTTTGGTCATGTTGGGAGGAGACCACAGGTAACTGTAACCTGCCCATCAACACCCGGCTCGTTTTACCGTGTCCGTTAGGAGTCCGGCTCCTTTAGCGGGACCGGCTCAGGTGGTGCACCCGACTGATCCAGGCTCTGACATCTGCTTTCACAGCCTCGCCATTGGATCTGTGAGCGGCCACGCCCAGCAGAGTCCAGACCTGTGTCTCATCTGGGTCGACGCTCACGCAGACATCAACACGCCCATGACCTCACCTTCAGGAAACCTCCACGGCCAGCCGGTGGCGTTCATGCTCAAAGAGCTGCAGGGCAAGGTGAGTGGACTTCACAAGAACCTGTGGACCCCTGACTGCCACAGACTGTGTTGTAAGGACCTCCTTCGGTCTCCTCAGATACCAGCTATTCCTGGTTTTGCGTGGTCTAAACCGTTCCTGTCTTCACGGGACCTGGTGTACGTCGGACTGAGGGACGTGGACCCTGGAGAGCAGTAAGCTCCTGCCGTCTAAATGTTTTAAACTGACGTTCTGTTTGCTGGGACTCATCTGATTGTTTCCTGCAGCCACCTCCTGAAGAGCCTGGGCATCCAGTACTTCAGCATGAGGGACATTGACCGACTCGGCATCACAAGAGTCATGGAGGTCACCCTGGACCACCTTCTGTCCAGGTACTCAAGAAAGAGAAGACGAGATCCTCTCTTCCTCTAACTCTGGCCTCTTCCTTCAGTTATTTCTGAGTGTGATTTCTAAACAAACGGACTCAACGTTCTCCGCAGGAAACAGCGACCGATCCACCTGAGCTTCGACATCGATGCGTTTGACCCGTCTCTGGCTCCAGCCACAGGAACCGCGGTGAACGGAGGTCTGACCTACAGAGAGGGGATCTACCTCACTGAGGAAATTCACAACACAGGTACGCACCCAGAAACATCCGAGAGGCAGCGGAGATCTTGAGTTCACATATCTTTACCATGGCTTTATGCTGCGTGTAGGTCTGCTGTCAGCCATCGACCTGGTGGAGGTGAACCCCGTCCTGGGGGCCAGTCAGGAGGCCGTGGAGGCCACCGCCTCCTTGGCTGTGGACGTGATTGCGTCGTCCCTGGGGCAGACGAGGGAAGGCGCTCACGCGTCCATCGACTCCATGCCTGCGGTGAAAAAGGACACGGAGCAGTTCTGCCTCTGAGCACGGAGAGAAACTCACGGACTTCCTGTCATGCTGACCATTCCATAATTTTGCCGTCTGCTCCTATAGACGATCACGAAAAACAAAATGTCTGAATCAAAAAAGGGCTTTAAAAACTCCACACTGGTCAAGCTGAGACAAGCCTTTAACGGTGTTTAGCAGGGGTGTAACAGAATCTCAGGCCACGTGAAGGGAACACCTCGTGATTCGGGTTCAAACCCGTCAGCGTGAACTTGTTTTAGAAACAAGGACCCGGTGCCGAGTTCACCTGACGAGTTTTAAACCTACGATCCGTTTGAGCTGAAGGTAAAAAGAGTCAAAACTACACCGACGTCCCGTCCTTTCATTAGACTGAAAAGTGTTTTATCCAAGAGATAAAGATATTTTATACAGAGATATAAAGAAAAGATGTTTATTCATATTTCTGTGTAAATATTCACGACCGTTTTTAATAAGACTGAAAAAAAATCTTGTCCTCTGATCTTTGGCTCCTTGATGAGAGTTTGACTCTCCAGAGTTCAAAGGTCACAGCGTTCTTAAATATGTTTAAGTTAGTTAAAAACTAACTTAAACCCTAACCTTAGAGACCCCCCCCCCCCCCCCCCCCGAGCTTTGTTTACGTTGAGTGCATACCTGCACTTTAGATCTTTGTCATTAGATCTGGACAACTACTGGAGTAAGGTGGTTCAACCTCCCCCCCCCCCCCCCCCCCCGTGATGCTCTGGTTCTGCCACCCCCGTTAATCTTAAATTAATGCACTTTTTGATGGAACTGCTCTTGATCTAAAACAAATTTTTTTTTTTTTTTTTTTTTTTTTTTTTTTAAGTGTGACAAAACGGTTGTGTATCGTGTGTTTGAGAGGATGTCCCCACCTCGGAGGCGTGAAGTTCCGTCCGATGTGGGCTCAGAACTTTCTGTGGTTCTGTCAGACAAGTCACTTTGGACCAGTCATGGTTACTGTATTTTGTATTTTACTTTGAACCTAACAGGATGTGCATCAGAGTTACTGTGTGTAACACAAATGTGATGAAAAAACACAGCATTTAATGAATGCTGGTAAAATAATAAAAATCAGGTGTGTCCTGATTTGTTGCTTTTTCAACTGAATGATTTTTGTCCTCGTTACAGAAAGCTCCTACTTTGGTCTTCCATAAATTAAATGCTCTTGTTTTTAAATACGTCTTTTTGTCTTTATTACAGTTTGACTGCCGTGTCGTGATCTGTGGCTTTTCTCTAGTTTTGGTAATATTTTGTGTTTCCTGAGCTTTCTGTCACTCTGTGGGAAGTTCTCTGCTTTTCAGCTCACTCACCTGCTCCTTGTTGCCATCAGCTCACTCTCACCTGCTCCCTGTTGTCATCAGCTCACTCTCA